CCAGCCCCAAAAGGTGTCAGAGTTACATTCATGTCTAAATACAACCAGCCTTTGATTAAAGTTCCCAAAATATGGGGCATCCTTTTAGATGCCAGATTAATTAATATTTAGCTGTAATGTTTTAAGCCTTCCCTTTCTTAATACAAGACCTAAATGAGTGGGGAAATGTACTAATCTGGGAATCCGGTATCTGTGCCCGAGGCAGGCGCTGGGTGGGCAGTGCCCTAAATTAGGCTGGATTCAGTGGCAGGTTTAGAGGCATAGCACCCAAGGGGAGCCCAGATGCTTCGGAACAAAAGCTTTGCAAGTTCATGCTTATAAAGTAATGCTTTGGCCATGCTTCCCTTTTCCCTGCTGTTGCAGCTGCTATAAATGTTATCACAGGGGCACCTGGGGCGTTCAGTCGGTTAAGCGTCTGCCTTTGGTTCAGATCATGATCCCAGGGTCCTGGGATGGAGCCCTGAGTCGGGCTCCCTGCTGCTTCCCCTGCTTGTGCTCTCTCACTCTCTCTCTTAAATAAATTAAAAAAAATATTTAAGAAACAAAAATAAAATCACAAAATCTTCCTAAAAATCACCCTTGAAAACTTTTTTCCCCCTCAGAAACTAATCTAATACCCAAAGTTACTTTAAGAAAAAGTTAAAGAAGTCAATATGGCTATATAGAGAAATAATATTTATTGAGCTCAACTGTGTACCAGGCATGGTGTTACTCTCTCCTATATGCATTATGCAACATTTTCCAGAATGTTTTCTGTGGAAATAGCCCAGAATGATGTGCAAAATGTGGTCTTTTGGGAAACCCTAAGGACAATATATCCTACCAGTATATCTCCAATATTATGTTTGTATATGGACGATTCTTTTAAGTCCCATAGTAAAGAAACTGTTTATATTTCTTTGACTCAGTATATCTCAAAGTGTGGAATATATATGAATAGGTAATGCATGAGATGAATTTAGAAAGTGCATAAATGTAAGTTTTAAATTTTAATGGTTATATATATTTATTATGTAATACAACTGACAGATCAAACCTGTGACTGCACATATATTCTTCAGGACTCATTCATTCATTCATTTCACACACATTTACTGAGGACCAGTATTCTAGACACTGAGAATAGAGCAGTAAATAAAGTCCCTACTCTCAAAAATTTATATTTTATTGGGGAGCAACAAAAACTCAAACAAATAAACACACTGAACAAATATAAATATATGTTCAACAGTAAAAGGTAGAATAAAGAAAAAGAGTTGTTCAGGGGGACAGAATGATGGGGGGGGGTAACTAGTAGAGATGGTTTGGTCAGGGAAGACCTCTTTGATAAAGTTAACATTTGAGTGGAGAGGTACCCGAAGTGAGAATACATTTCTGAAGGAAGCACATTCTAGGCAGAGATAATACCAAATGCAAAGCCCCTGAGGTGGGAATATGCTTGGTTCCTGGTGAACTATTCAAAGTTTCAGGGCTGCAGACAAACCCCTGAAGGATGGTGCTTTTAAAAATTAAGATACAGGGTGCCTGGGTGGCTTAGTTGGTTAAGCGACTGCCTTCGGCTCAGGTCATGATCCTGGAGTCCCAGGATCGAGTCCCACATCAGGCTCCCTGCTCAGCAGGGAGTCTGCTTCTCCCTCTGACCCTCCTCCCTCTCATGCTCTCTGTCTCTCATTCTCTCTCTTGCAAATAAAAAAAAAAAAAAATTAAAAATTAAGATACAATTAAAATACCATAATATTCACCCTTTTAAAGTACACAATTCAGTATATATACAAAGTTGTCGCTTTTTTTTTTTTTAAGTGATGATTTGGTACTGGTTCTGACCAAGATGGAGTAACAGGGACCAGATTTATCTTCTCGCCTCAAACCACCACAAATCAGACAAAATAACAGACATCCAAAGTAACAGACATCCACAGAACACACCCAACAATGGCAGAATACCCATTCTTTTTGTGTGCATATGGACTATTTAGCCAGAGAGACCAAGTCCTGGGTCATAAAACAAGCCTCCATGAGTTTTAAATAATTTAAATAATATACTGTATGCTCTCTGACACAATGAAAATAAAATAGAAACCAATGACAGAAGGATCTCTGGAAAATTCCTAAATACACTTGAAAACTAAATGTTTCTAAATAACCTATGGGTCAAAGATGATCTCAAAAGGGAAATTAGAAAGTATTTTGAACTGAATGGAAATGAAGATACAATGTATTAGAATAGGTGGGGTGCTGCCAAAGACGTAGTTGGGGGAATTTGTGGCACCAAACGAGTATCCTGGAAAAAAAGAAATGTTCCAGTCAGTGGCTTCAGCTTCCATTTTAAAAAGTTAGAGAAGAACAAATTAAATCCAAAGTAGGCAGACAAAAGGAAATAATGCAGGTAGGAGTGGCAAATCAATGGAGCCAAATGGGAAAAGTCAAAGGACTCAAGAGCTGGTTCTCTTTTGAAAATCAATGGCATTGCTCCATCTCTAACCTGCCTGATTAGGGAAAAGGGGGAAGATACAAATTAACAACATCAGGAATGAGAGAGGCAACATCACTACGAACTCTACCGATATTAAGAAAATAATAAGAGGATATCACGAACATCTTTATGTCAATAAATTTGGTAACTTTGATGAACTGAACAACTTTTTGAAAGACACAAACTGACAAAGGAGACTCCAGCTTCAGATGTCCTCATAGGTGAATTCTACTAAACATTTAAGGAAGAAATAATACCAGTTTTGTTCAAACTCTTCCAGAAAACTGAAGAAGAGAGCATACGTCTCAATTCATTCTGTAAAGCCAACATTACTCAGACATGACAAGAAAACTACAGACCAATATAGCTCTCAAGAACATCAACTCAAAAATTCTAAACAAAATTTTAGCAAATCAAAGCCAACAATATATAAAAGGATAATACATCATGGCCAGGTGGGATTTATCCCAGGGATACAATGTTGGTTTAACATTAGAAAAATTAACGTGATTTGCCATATTGACATACTAAAAAAGAAATACCATCTGAGTATCTTAGTAGACACAGAAGAAGCATTTGACAAAAGCCAACATCCGCACCTCATAAAAATTCTCAGCAAACTAGAAATAGAAAGGAACTTCCCCAACCTGATAAAGGGAATGTATAAAAAACCTACAGCTAACATCATACTTAGTGCTGAAAGACTGAAAGAAAGCTTTCTTCTTAAGATCAAGAACAAGACAAGTATGTCTTTAGTCAGCAAAATAAGGCAAGAAAAAGAAACAGAAGCCACCCAGATCAGAAAGGAAGAAGTAAAACTATCTTTACTCATAGACGTGACCATCTCTGCAGAAAATCCAAAGGAATCTACAAAAAAGCCACTAGAATAAGTGAGTTTAGTAAGGTTGCAGGTTATAGTTAATATACAAAATGCTCCTGTATTTCTACATATTAGCAACAAAAATTGACAACTGAAATGAAAAACCAGTATAATTTATAATACAGATTGTAGATATAAATCTGACAAAATATGTAAAAGACCTATGCAAGAAAATCTGCAAAAACAATTGATGAGAGAATTAGAGAAGACCTAAAAATATGGAGAAATACAGTGTTCATGGGTTGGAAGGCTCAACATTGTTAGGATGTCAATTCTTCTCAAATCTATAGAGCTACAGATTTAACACAATCTCAGTCAAAATCTAAAATTTTTGAATTTAACTGATTCGAAAATTCACACGGAAATGCAAAGGACCTAGACGGGCCAAAGCAACGTTGAAAAAGAACAAAATTGGGGATTTAATGGGACATGATTTTAGGACTTATTATAAGGCTATAGTTATCAAGACAGTGTGGTATTGATGCTAAGAGAGACAGATCAAACAGAATATATGGGCAACTAATTTTCATCAAAGGTACAAAGGCAACTCAGTGGAGAAAGGACAACCTTTTCAACAAATAGTGCTGGAATAGTTGCATCTCCATATACAAACAAACAAAATAAAACTAAACTAAACTTTGTTCCATACCTCACACCATATACAACAGTTAACTCAGGGTGAATCATAAACCTAAATACAGAACCTAAAGCCATTAAACTGCTAGGAGAAAACTTCTGCGACCTTGGGTTAGGCAAATATTTTAGCCATGACACCAAAAGCACAATCCATAAAAGAACAAACTGATAAACGGGACTTCCTCAAAATTACAAACTCTAGTCTTTGAAAGACACAGTTAAGAGAATGAAAAACATGCCACAAACTGGAAGAAAACACTTGCAAATGACATAGCTGACAGAGGACTTCTATCCCAGTGGCTTTCCAAGCTCCCCTCCTACAATGACAGTCTACCCCTAATGGCTCTTTGTTTAAGAGACAGTATAAAGTCCTAACCAGTAAGAATCTGGAGCTGTGGTTTACTTTAGCTTCACCTGGAAGGCTTGTTAAAACACAGACTGCTGGGCTCCACCCTCAGAATCTCGGAATCAGTAGAGCCTGAGGGTTTTCATTTCTGATAAGCATCCTGGTAATGTTTAGGCTGCTGGCCTGATTACCACAATTTGAGAACTGCTCATCTAGACCAATTTAGACTAAACTTGAAACAAAGTCAAATGCAAGATTTTCCCTCCAAGTGAAAATAAACTATGCTCACTAAAAAATAATTTATCCCCCACCTTCTTTTTTATTAGCCGGAGACATCTGTAAATGCTAATCAGCGCTTCTGATCAGCAAGCAATAACAAACATGACATCACTGAGTTGGCATGATTCTAGCCTTGCCTCTTTGTTGAATACACATTTTGGTTTCCACAAAGCTGTTCAGAATTCACCCTGGAAAACATACACGGCCTTATACCAGCCATGTCACAATGACAACATGAAAGAAGCCATCCAGCCGCAGTGAAGCTCATCAACTTCCTTTGACCCTCCGTCTCCCCCCCACCCCCCTCCCCTCTCCGCCCACCCCCCTCCCCACCCACTACTTCCCCCCCATGCCCCCCCATTGTAGGGCTGCCATCTGGGTCTCACCGTCCAGGATGGCCCATTGATTGTCAATCTCTGTGTGTTTCAGGTAGGAGTCTTCGATGGTGGGGTCGTAGTCAGGCACAAAAATCTTCTGGAAAAACTGGATGGTGAGGGCACTCTTGCCCACACCCCCATCTCCCACCACCACCAGCTTGTACGTGGGGAGGTTGTCACTGGGGACGGCACTGGTTGCCATGTTTATGGTAGGTCAGACCTGGGGAGGCAAGACATGTGTAATGAGGCCGGGGGCTTTTTCCTTTCTGACCTTATAGAGTAATAAATACTCCCAATTATATATTGATTCAGTCATTCATTGAATACCAACTATGTGCCACACCTGGTCTTGGGGACACAGTACTACTAGACACCATGAGGTCTTTAACAAGTACAGCCAAAAGCCAGGTCAAAGAAGCATTTCTAGCACTAAAGTCTGCCCTATTCCCATACAGGTAAACATGTGGGTGCTAGTCCGAGTAGGGATGGCACCTTTTACATCAGCTCTGGCCACGGGCCTGCTGTGCCCAGAAGGATCTGAGGTTGCCTGAGCTAAGGGAAGGTTGGCCATAATAGCCTGGTGCGCCAGAGTTCAGGATCTCCGTGCACCCCGCCCCCCGCCCCCTGAATTTAGTGATTGTGGCTCCTTTCCCTCAGTCTCCTTGCCCTTTGTCATGCAGAAAGTTGTGCTGGAATCTCTTGGCATCTGGTCACCCCCTGTGTTAGCTGGGCGGGAGGAAGAGGAGGAGCAGGGCTAAGTTTTGTTTTAATGATGTTGAGTCCAGCTAAGGCAGTGGTTCTCAACCAGGGGCAATCCTGCCCCCCAGGGACATCTGCAATATCCGGAGATAATTTTGGTTGTTAAAACCAAGTGGGTGTTACTGGCATGCAGTCAGCAGAGGCCAAGGCTGTGGCTACACATCCTACAACGCACAGGGCATCCCCCACCACACAGAATTATCCACCCTAAGATGTCAATAGTGCTAATGAGCTAAGGGGACTAGGCAGGAGCCCGAAACGTGGGGCGAGGATTCTAAAGAATAATGAGCCTTAACAGATAAGGACTGATTGTGAAGAGGTGACAGCAGAGAAGCGAAGAGTGATCTTTGGAAGCAGCGTCATAAAGTGACAAGGAGGAGAGGGAGGCAGGGAGGCAGGGAGCGTGGACGGAGCGCTCAGCCCAGGGTTCTGGGCTGCTAACTGTGGACCCCGCCAGGGTGCCAGGGAGAACAATGCCCCCTCCTGCTATGGCGACACTCCCGGGTAGCAGGAGCACTGACCCGGTGCCAAGAGGGTGCAAGCTTGATCCTGCCTCACGGTACTAGAAAAGAATCTCTGCACAAGCTGGGAGGCAGAAAGGCATGGCGCAGGTGTGACGGGGACACTCAAGGGTGCGGACTGGGTGTCCTGCGTTCCTCGCTGCTGCTTGGGAAGGCCACGCCGAGCCATACCTTCCTTACCTAACAGATGCAAGGGCTGGATTTTCTTTTACAGTTATTGGCAGCTCTGAAAGAGTCCTCAGTTCTAGAGAGCAACAGAAAGGGTGTTCGACACAAGTGTGGGTTATGTGGCCACACTGATCTGCATGGGGCTGCGGGAGGGAGTCATTGCAAAAACGCTCTGCAGTTACTGAAGCTTGATGTTGACATTTAGGACTTCCCTGCATCCTGAGGAAGTATACGCGCTTGTATACACTGCGGGTGAGCATGTAAATCTGTCCCGACTGGACTGAGAATACACTCGCATAAATATATCGAAACTTAAAATGACATACCACCTCTCGAAGCTATCTGGTATATGAGGATTTATTCTAGGAAATAATCAGACAAGTGTACAAAGATGTAAAGAACAGGGGGAAAATGGAAATCACTTAAATGTTGCGGGGGAGTTAAAGAAAAAGTTATCTACACAATGCAATACTATGCAGCCATTAAAAAGGATGATAGTCCCTAACCTAGAAAAGTTTATATTATGCATGAAGAAAGCCCCAAACAGGCTGCAAAACCACAAGTACATATGATTGCACCTCCATGAATGAATCTATATGTCTAGATGTGGTTCTAGGCATAGAGAGGACTGGCAGATTTGGGGGCACTTTCTCAATTTTTCTCAACACTTGCTATAACAAGCTAATATTTTATATGTATACTGGGAAAGTTTAACAATATTAAAATATTCCCACCAATGGGAATAAAAGGCACAGCATAGGGAGCATAGTCAATGGTACTGTAACAGCAATGCATGGTGACAGATAGCTACATTTGTGGTGAGCGGAGCAGAACGTATAGAGTTGATGAATCACTATGTTGTACACCTGAAACTAATGTAACATTGTGTGTCGACTATCCTCAAATAAAAAAAAAATTTTTTAATGTTCCCGCCAAATAAATGTTCCAGCTACCTGAAAATGTAGGACTCTGTGTCCTTCAGGTGGGGCTTTAAGCTCCTTTGGTGCAGGATATTGGGCCCAGGGGCCGGCTGCAGCCTCAGCTGTCTCCCTAAGAAGGGTAAAGGTGGGGACAAGTTGAGGCTTTGGCAAACTGAGATCTTCCACATGACAAGGGATGGTGGTCCAAAGGGGCCACAGGGCAGTTGGAAGGAAACAGAAATGCGGAGAGGAGGGCAAGGGCCAGCTCCCTCTCTCCTTCACCTCTCAGGTCAGGGGATCGAGGTGTCAGCCCCTCCTTACCCGCCATCTTGGCCGAGGGTGGACAATGACACTGGGCCAGGGTGGGCGTGTTTGCCTGTGAGAGAGGCTGTTTCTAAAGCTCCCTTCCATTCTCTGCTGGCAGCGACATGAATAAAAAATACTCAGTGGGTGGGAAGATATCAAGAAGGAAAATTATTTCTCTTGATTTTCTTCTCAAAATGAAACAAGATAAGAAATCTCCACTAGTAAGTATGATAGAGGACATGAACTGAATCTCTGTGTTGGTACTCAGACCAGCCACAGCAGAATCACCTGGGGACCTGCTTGCCAAGCAAGGCAGCTGCCAGGAAACAGACGAGGGGCTCCTTCCCTTCACAGAGCTCCGCACTCAGGGGTTGAGCCCCTGAGAGATCACAGGCAGCCAACTCGGGGTTCCCTCCCAACCAAGACTCAATGGAAGCAGGTTAGAATGCACAGTTAGCACAAAAATTGGACCGGATCCCCCGTGGTGAAAAACGCTTTAGTGCTGCCCATCGCTGATGGGCCAAGTCCCGGCTCCTTCACTGGACATTCAAGGCTGTCACTGGTCACCATGCTGACCTCTCCAGTGGTAGCTATACCACAGCCTCTCACACTCTGCTCGCTCTCCCAGCCAGCTTTATGTTCGCCCAGTGTGCCCTGGGGTCACACCGAGTGCCCTGCAGACCCCTGGGAGAGCACATACCTCTTCACAGGTCAGGCCCGGGCCCAGGAATCACTTCCTATGGGAGGCACCTCCTTCTACTCTGCGCCCTGCAGTTCCTGGTGCAGAGGCCACCGGTATCCTTGAAACCGTCTACATTTAATGTGCACAGAAGGGCAGGGACGGCATCTCGTCCTCTCTGTATCGCCAAAGCCTGGCAGAGCATCAGCAGGGAGCAAAAGGCTAGCTGAAGGCATTTCTGAACCACTGTCAGACCACCTACCAGCCACAGCATTGGGCCTGACCATGGAGAGGGCCAAGAGGCAACCCTCCCAGCCTCCTTCTACCAAGTCAGACCAATCACACAGAAAAGCCCTTCTGGAAGCAAGCGTGGGCCCAGGAAGGAGAGAAGGTGTTGCACGGCCAAGAGAATGAGTCCAGACCAGGCCCCTCCCCCCAATTCATAAAGGCTCTTCTCCTGATGGACATGTTTTTCCAGGCTTTCAGCCTCCCCCCAAATAATCCCTGACTAAACAATGTCTTTGTAAGTGCGGAGGGCAGTCAAAATGCACCACACTCCTACAAAATAGGCTGGACCCGAGTGGTAAAGAGAAAGATTTTTTTTCAGTCACCACAGGCTATGACGAAAGACACCACAGGATAAAAAGTTGGTTGGTGGTTAAGGAGCAAACTGCTTACATTCACAAGACCCACCTCCTCTCTAGACTATTCAACTAGAAGATCAGAGATCTTTCTAGATCTTCTGGGAGATCATTCTAGAATTTCGGTTCTTTACTTTTTGGGGGTCTTGGATGGCCCCTTTGAGGTGGGAGGGTAGTATAAGGTGGACCTAGGGTCTCTCTTGAAAGTTCCCCCACCAGTTTTCGATGCTAGATACTCTCCCACAGACCAGGTGGGTGACCCTGCTGGGCAAGTTACTGTTCACAGCCTCAGTTTCCTATTTGTAAGATGGGACTGATTAGAAAATTATACTTTGCAGGACTGCTCTAAGCATGAAATTAAAATGTATGAAATGTGCCCAGTTTAGAGAAGGTGCGCCAATGTTTGTTCCCGCGCCTTGTTTACTTTGTTCCCTGGAGAGACTCCCCCATCAGAAGTCCCGCTGCCACCTCAGCTCCAGGGCAGGCAGGCCTGTGTGGGAACGTCGCCCAACATTCAGAACGTCGTTTCCACCGGGAATGGCTCCGAGGTTCAGGCAGCCCCCTCCCCGCAGAAACCAACTTTTGGAAGAGCCGCCGCTGGGCGCGGGGGCGGCTGAGCGCTGGTTCCCATGGCAACCCCCGCTCCCGGCGCCCCTCCCTGTGCACCGGCAGCCCAGCCCCTCCCACAGGCTGGAAACTGTTCCCTCAAAGGCAGCGTCGCTGCTTGGACAATTTTAATCACACGTATACAAAAACTTCGGGCATCTTTAACCAGAGAAATAAACTTTTTTTGGCGGCTGTCTTTTGCTCCCTTCCTCTCTCAGGGTTAGCACCGTCTTGCGAGGTGTGAATTTTTGTTTCCTGAATGGCAGCTTCGTCTCCTCCGAGCAGCTCAGAAGCTCCGCCAGGACAGGAGCCACATCTCCTCATTCCCTTGCCTTTTACAGGGCCAGGCAGGGCCCAACACATGGGAGGCTCAGGGTCTATTCATTGACTGACTGCTGGATACTGCCCCAGGGCAGCCTTCTACCCAGCCAGCCCTCCCTTGGGCCAAGAAGCAGGAGGTGATGCTCTTAGGAGGTGCGGGGCTGGGTGGACAGATGACCCCAGAATAGCCTCTTCACCCAGCCATTTTCAAAGTATGCTGGGAGGGTTCTGAGACCTCCTGGGGACAGTCCTGTGCAAAGCCCCCCTTGGTTCTCACGGCGGGGGGGGGGGGGGGCTGG